CGTAGGTATAATGTCTTCAAGGTCCATTCATGTTCTAGTACATATGAGGATTTTTTTCCTTTTCAGAGGCTGAATTATATTTCACTGTATGTACTTAATACATTCTGTTTATCCATTTCTGGATATCTGGGTTGATTCCATCTCTTGGCTACTGTGAATAGTGCTGCTATGAACATAAATGTGCAAACATCTTGTTGAGACCCTGCTTTCAATTGTTTTGGGGATACAGTACACCTAGGGGTTGGACTGTTTCATCTAATTTGTTTTTATGTATTTCTTTTTTTTGCAGAGCTGAAGATCAAACCCAGGGCTTTGTGAATGCAATGTAAGAGCTCTACCACTAAGCCACACCCCTAGCCCTGTATTTTTGATTTTCTGAGGCATCTCCATACTGTCTTCCAGAGCAGTTATACCATTTTATAGTATCCCAACATTTCCACGTCTTTGCCAGCACTTGCTATTGTCTGTTTTCTTGACAGAAGCCATGTTACTGTGTGCAAAGTTAGCCTTTTCTTCTTCGTATCTTCATGTTTCCTTTAGGTCACTCACATGAGCATTTTTAATCTTAAACAAATTTTTAAAAAACTATGCCATAGGCTGGGAATTTAGCTCAGTGGTTCTGCTGCCTGCCTCGCTAGCACAAGGTCCTGAATTTGACTATGTTCTCCTCCAGCCACCATCCATCTCTCTGCTTTCCTTGCAAGACTGATACACATTCATGATCTACACGTTTCCCACTCTCTCTCAAAGCATTCAGGGTCCCTAACAATCCTGATAGAAACTCATCTTGACTTGGTGAAGCAGAGGCTGCTTTTAACATATCCATGGTTAAATGTAATGACCAGTTTCTGTATTCATGTTACTTGTCTTCTCTGTTGTATTCAACAGTTTATTACTTCTTTCTCCAAACAAATCCTTTACTTGATCTTTGGGATGTTTTTTGTTGTTGTTGCCCTTCTATTTCACTGTCTACTTCTTTTCAACTTTTTTTGTTGATTTCTTCTCATCCCCATGATTTCTAAATTGCAGAGTTCCCAATGGCTTGGTCCTATATGTGCTTCTCCCACAGTTACCTCATTCAATCTTATGGCTTTAAAAAGCATCTGTATGCTGACAATCCTTAAATTAAGCTCTCTACCACCAGTATCTTCCCCAAACTATAGATTTTTAAGTGTTACTACTTATCTACCATCTTTTCCTGGATCTCAAATTTAAGGTGTCCTAAACTGTTCTGCAAAATCCCTGCTCTTCCTATATGTCTTCCCCTTCAGTAATGGCAAGTCCACAGTATTAGCCTCAGACTAAAATCTTGAGGTAATCCTTGATTATTATATTCATTTTACCAAAACACTAGTTTTGCTCTTGCTCCCACATAGTTCTGCTCCACATAGCAAGCAATCTCATCTTTTTCAAATAAAAGTTTGGCCATATCTCTATGGCTTTCCATCTTACTCAGAATAAAACCAAAATCCTCACTATGGCCTATAAGCTCTGTATGATTTGACTGTCATGTCACTGACCTTATCTTCTTCTACCCTCCTACTTGTTCACTCTATTCCAGATAACTAGCTTCCCTACTGTTTCTGGAATATGCCAAGTACAATTTTATACATCTTAGGAGCCTCTGAATATTTTTCCTTGTACTAGAATATGCCTTCCTCAGAAATCAATATGGCTTACTTACTTCCTTTGGATCTCTACTCAAAAATTACCTTTCAAGAAGCCAATTACCATGCACAAAACACCACTATGACCCATGCTCACCAATCATCCTCTATCCCTTCTGCTCTTGCCACCCCTGACATTTTCCATAAACTTGTTCCCCCACAGACTGCACATTACAAGAGCAAGGTCTTCACTTTACTCGTTGTGGTCCTACCACTTAAACAACACCTCTCATATAGCTGTTACTCAAACACTCTAGGAATGAATGAAAGAACTGAACAAGTGATGACTTCCTACAGAGGGGGGAGGTTCAGGAAGACTGAATGGTAGGCCATGGCCTGGCTGTGGCTCTGCTTGACTTATAAAAGGAAAATCCTGTCCTATAACTTTCTATCATAAAAAAAGACTGGAATCCCCCCCCATGTGTTTTCTGTAAAAGCCAATTTTATAATTAAAAGCTCTTAAAGGCTTGCAATTAATTGCAGATGGTCTAGCCTGTTAAGGAAACACATTGCTATAGCAAAAGAATAGCAGGAAAATGGCAAAAATATACAATATACACATATCTCCATGCATATCAATCCAACAGAAACTGAACTTTGTGGAAGAAAAAGAGTATTACTTACATTTAAAGGGTAAAGTGAAATTTCAATTTTATCAACTGGAGAATATGCCTCAATAAAGGCTCCAAGTAATCAAGAAAAAAAGAAACAGGTGAAGATAAGGAAAGCTCAGTGATTGCTCCTGCCTGCATATCCCAAAGGTCAGAAAGTGTTTTCTCAAAGGGCTGGATAGTAAATATTTTAGGCTTGTGGGAAATATGTTCTTCTCATAACTATTCAACTCTACTGCTATATATAAAATAGTCAAAGGCAGTAAGTAAATACATGGGCATGGCCATATTCCAGTAAAAGTTCATCTATAAAAACAGGCAACAAGCTGGACTTAGCTTTCAGGCTGCTATGTGCTAATCCTTGGCAGAGATGATCAAATGCTTGTGTTCCTACAAGAACTCTTCCATTTCTCTCTCTAGAGCCTTTCTGTAAGTGGTTTTGGAATCAAAATAAGAATGGCTTTATCTTTTTTTTTTTTTTTTTTTTACAAAGGGCCCATGTACAAGTAAAGTCTTATAACTGCTAAGACTGTCCCAGAAAAAAAAGGAATAAAAAAAAATGTCTTTATCTTTTTTTTTTTTTTTTTACAAAGGGCCCATGTACAAGTAAAGTCTTATAACTGCTAAGACTGTCCCAGAAAAAAATGAATCAAACACCAAGCAAAGGAGTCTATGACAGAGTAGGAGAGAAATTGATAATGGTAGTATGACAAATTAAGACTTGTTTTCTCTGGGAAGGAAAGCATGGAATGTAGAAAAGGATCTGTAGCTACTAGAAAAGCAGACAATGAAAAAAAAGTGGTTAACAAAGAGAAACCATCTGATAGTGAATAAATGCTACAAACATAAAGATAAGGCTATTCAGAGAGTCAAAAGAAACCTGTCATCTACCCTTTAAAAAACAGTGGTTTTAGCTGGGATGTGGCTCAGTAGCACAGTGCCTGCCTGGCAAGCATGAGGTCTCAAGTTCGAGTCCTGGTACCAAAGGAGCGGGGGAGAGACAAGTGGCTTTCAAATGTTTTTGGTCACAACTGATAGTAAGAAATACATTTTACAGCATGACATAGTAAAAACAAAATTTTTTTACTGTAATATATTTTGCATACATTATTTTCTATACTATTAAAAATGGTGGTTATAAGCAGCTACACTGATGTATAATCCACTACAGGGTCATGCTGAAAATCATTGCCTTGAACTAATATAAAGAAGGATCTGGGAAAGTTAGAATACTTCAAAGCTTTATGGCCCAATAGCATGGAGTATTCTTCTGTAATAATAAGAAGGAAAAGCAAAGCTTCTAGGTATTGCATAGTGTCTAACACTTATGCATCAAAACCTCAGGTGGAAAAAAATCAGTTAAACTTCAAAATGATAAAAATACTAACTTACGGTAGTAAAAACTTAACTGCAGTAATTCAGGGATACAGTGAAATCTCTAGGCCAAACACAGAACAAAAATAAACAATAACAACTAAGAAGTCAAAAGAAGACAATAAATATGAATTACAGGAAAATGGCTCGCTTCTTAATAACAAATGGAACAATAAAGATTTAATAAGGTCACACACTTAGACAGTCAAGTCTTCTTCCAAGAAAGGGAGGAATTCAGGCTTCTGGGAGAATGCTGACCTAGCAAATAAACATTTTATTTAAAAAAAAAAAAATCAGACACTCTAAGCCAAGAGAAAAACCTATCTGGATCCCATACACAGAGCAAAAGTTAGGACAGGAGGCAAATGGATGGTTACTGACATTCTAGGAAGAGACAGAACAAGACACAGCTCCTTGTGATCATCCTGGTAGTTACCCTACATGGTATGAATGTTAAGTCTATATAGTACCAGATCCTATAGTAAAAGCAGCCATCAGGATAAAAAGACTAAAGTAGGAATGTAAGTCCCTCTAATATCAGATCTTATAATACAGACACCCATCAGCATAAAGAGGCTACACTTAAAGCACAACTAATCTGTAGTAACTAATTATAAGCATTAATAAGCAGACTACTTCAGGTTTCAAAAGAAATTCAATTCTAAGAGAAATTAAAGTCACCACCATTCTTTCCAACTTCCCTGCCCAGAGAGATTTAAAACCTCCAAAGAAAAATAAACCTGCATCCAAATAACAATTTATTATGAATGGCCTTTCAAATTTCCTTGTCAGTTCTGTACAATTTATCATGACCCTGACATTTCTCAAGTTTTCATTTGGACTAATACTAAGATGTTATCTTTACAAAAAAATGGGTTACTTTGTTAAAATAATAAGCCTTCTGAAAACACTGTTATATGGTAACAAGAGTTCTACTTCTTGAATAAAAACCTAAAAAGTCAGGGATAGAGCCTTCCCATTTTCATTAACTCTAGTACAATAAAAAGTTCAGGCCCGGCATATGCATATAATCCCTGTAACTCAGAAGGCTATGGCAGGAGGATCGCTGTGAGTTTGAGGCCAGTGTCAGACTACATAGTAAGTTTGAAATCAGCCTAAACTACAGTGATATCTTGTCTAAAAACAAAACAAAACAAAACAAACAAAAAAAACCCAAACAAGATTTGAAGTTTTGAAGAAGACTCTGTAAACTAACAAAAACTTTCTCACACTTGATGAGGTTATATAATTTGAATATGAAGGTACTTTGAAGCAAGAACAGTGGAGGCTGGAAATTTAACCCGCCCTTTTTTAAAATGAGGAAATAAACACAACATAATGTTTTTACCTCTCCCAGTGAGAAATAATGACGTGGAATTTGAGAATCAGGGTAGATATTCTCTAGGTACCAAGAGAAAGGTTTGCAATGTAGTTTGTGTCTCAGACCAAGTCTTGATGATATATCTCCATAATCTACCTTTGTAACACCTGTTGAAAGAAATAATTAACTCTCAGTTATTAGTATTCTGTTAGGTAGTATACACTGATTTCTATGTTGACTTTAACAAAATGGCTAGAAAGGAAAAGGGTATCATTTGGGTGATATATATACATCACTGTACACTGGATATACTGTACTGTATACTGGTGGTATACTATGAATCCACCTCCAAGGCATAAAACAAAGAAAAGACATTAAAATGTCATTTAATACTTTAAAGCAAAATTTATGTGAGAATTAAATATATACTAATACCACTACATGCAAATATATTTTAAAGCCAAAACAATAACAAAAAAATCAAGATCTATTTTGTTTACTATTAAACAGAGCGGCTGTTTCCAATCATGTTTCTCTTACACAACTCACTAAACTGTGCACACTACCACTAGGTAGTTTTGCAGTAACTAGAAGATGAGGACAGAACAGTAACAAGGTCAGGCAGATACATAAATGATGAAACAAGTTTCCACAAACTATGAGGAGCAGATAAAATTTCCTTGAAGCATGCTATAGTATTCTGTGTTGGCCTTATGAAAGCCCGGATGATGGCATCTAAGGCCTATTTACAGGGAATGCTCATGATCCACTGCTGAAAAAGTGTTTTTTATGTAGGATGAAAAAGTCAAGAATCCAGAAAGTCATAATAGCCAGGCAAAACAATTGAAAATTAACAACATGAAACCTCATAGAAATAAAATGTCAATTACTGAGGTTAGGTTTAAAAAATAAAAAAGAACATGAGTAATACCTGGGCTAGCAAAACTGAACTAGATTATTCAGTAGTATTGCTCAGAATACATGAGACATTCTGCTAAGCACTTTCTATGCTGTGATTTCATTACTTCTTACAATGACCTTATGAGGCAAGTGTTCACTTCTGATCAAAGCTTTGCTTCTACCCTTCTTGCCTCTCCTCAGAATATATTAGGTTCAGGGACAAGAAAGGTACAGGCTTGTACTTCTAATGAAAATAAACTAACCAGGTGAAATTATATAGAAGAAATTCTTGAATTCATCCATCCACACTTCTGCAAGTCGTCTGTTATTTTTGTTGATGATCTGCCCCGTGCCTCCTGGAAATGTGTAAGGTGTTGCTTTCCGAAACACGTGTCCAACATGTGAGCATGTAACAATTTCCAAAGTTCCTCCACACTGCCAGATCTGAAAACAACAGCAGAGAAGGCTATACACAACATTGCTTTCCAGGTAAAGTTCACTTCATTCTTCCAGTGGCACTTTCTTTTCAATTGAATAGAACAGGCTTTTATCTAAACTTGAATGGAAAACCTGTAATTACTCACAACAACTTCCAAAATACCTTCACACTACCAAATCTGAAACAACAAAGACTATATTAGATACTGATTTAAAACAAACACTGTTGGTATCTACTAAGTTTCATTGCGGAAAATTCATAAAATCCAAGACACGGAGTGGGGCCCCTACTATTTGATTACCTCCTCAGGAACAAATGTTGCTCTAATTTTTGCTTTTGATAAACCAAAAGTAGATTGAAATACAGAAAAGATAGGTTAAAGGCTAAATATAGAGAAGATATGAATAACAGAGCAGTATTTTTCTAAATGAAGGCTATGACTATGAGGATTATAAATTCAAACTGAATTGTGACCAGCTCTTGTTAACGAGAACATCTCATGAAATGTTCAATTTTTGTGTATATGTATGACGTATTTCATAATGTGGTTCATGGCTTTAACAAAAATATGACCAAGGAGTATTCAGTTAAGACACTTTTGTGTCCCCTTTCTCTAAACCTGTGTCACCGCTCGTACATTAAACAGACTCTAGAAGTCTAGATTAAACAGAATCTAGAAGCAAATCCATCATGACTTCTTCAGTAAGAAGGATGGCATATTTTGTTGTATTTATTAGAACAAAAACTGAAAAGGGGCAAAGGAAAGATCACCATGTATGGCTTTACATCCTTAATATAATCCTCCTTTCAAAATATATTCTTCTCCTTAAATGGAAAATCTCAAAGCAATTTGCAATAATAATTGCATTTTGAAAAAAGTTTTGATTTTTGTTAAATATTTAAGTGTGCCAACCTTCAAGTTTTCCCAGGATCATGAAGTGTTGGAGCTAGACAGGATTCTCTGGGAATAAGCTTACTCATTCAGATGATGATACACTTCACTGTGGTTTTTACCATAAGAAGGTATGCATTAGAAACTGATTAGTTTAGAATATACAGTGTCATTTAAATAAATTCATTTTCAAGCCAGCCATTGTGGTGGTGCCCACTTGTAACTATACCACCTTGGAAGGCTGAAGCAGGAGGATCACAAGTTTATACCCAGACTAGGCAATTAATTTAGCGACAACTCTGTGTCAAAAAGGTCTGGTGATATAGCTCTATGTGAAGGCCCTGGGTTCAACCCCCAGTACCACAAAAAAGAGAGGAAAAAAATGCTGATTATAGTGAACATGAAATGCAAAGATTTTTATATATCAAGTGAGCTCAATTAATATAAAGCTGATAAAAGGACCTGCTTTATATGAAATAATTTTCACATCAAACAAAAAGTGTTATCTTAGGATGTGAATTATGTTTTTGGCATTTAAGTTCAAGAGCAGCATAGACTATTAGTTTTTGGGGTTTTTTTTTTTTGAGCTTGAATTATCTCCTTGAAAATACCAGAAATTAAAAAAAGAAGGTAATCTTGTATAAATTCTATAGCTAAAGTATTAAACTAACTTGATTGTTTGCTTAAAGAATTTATAATAAATCTTTAACAGCATCACCAAACTTTTTATGGTTCAAAGGCTCTAGAGTCAGATTAAATTCTTATTAAATTTTCATTTTTTATTTAGAGATAACCTGAATAAAGCATCTATGTTTGAGGTTAAATAACATTTACTTTTTTTTTTTTGCAAAGAGAACTTACCCTAAAGGAAATTTCTAGATTTTCTCCTCCCCAAATATCCATTCCAGCATCATATGTTCCAATTTCCTGAAAGTAATCTCTGTCTATTGAAAAAAGGCCACCTGCCATTGTAGGTGTTCTGAAATACAGTAATAATACAATATCATTAATTTTAACAATTTAAATTTTACTTTAAAAAGTACTATAGTTTTATTACTATTTTTACTATAGAATGATACTCTTATTCTTACACTCTTCAGAAACCTTTACAGGGCTCCAGGGGCATTTTGTGTCAGGTTTGACATGCACCATGGTCACGCTGACTGCTAGATTCACTGTCTCTATAACACCTTTTGCTAGGACATCTCCCTCTGTCAAAGTCCTAAAGATATTTCCTGTGTTTAGCACCTTTCTTGGTCCTCAGTCTTGACTGATCTTCCACCTCAAATTTCTTAAAAATTGAAGCTATTCCTCATAATCCTCTCCATGTGACAGTGTAACTCACTCCATAGTTTCTACTAAATACAAAGGCAGTTAACTGTATTAACCAACTAGACTCAGGCTAGTGTTAACATGCCAGGTTCTAAAGGGTGGAAAATACTGCAAAGACATACGATTAAACAGGATGAAAAAAATGAGGCCCATTTCTTCTACTTAGTTTCTACTTCCTTCAAGGAAAGGAAGAGATAAAGTAAGGAATAACAAGCAATATATTCTTATAAAGATCACCATCCTGACAAAGTACTGTATAGTATGTTTTCTGAAAAAAAAAAAAAAAAAAAGGTGGGGGAAGCTCAATTCATCAAAACATGGTCCAAGTATGCAAAAGGGTGGATTAGGAATGGGAAAAACTGGGATTAGGTAGAGAAATTACAATGAAGTAGGATTTTATTTATATTTGTTTTATTTGAAATAGTCTTTCTATGTAGTTCAGTCTGGCCTTGAGCTCCCTATGTAGCCTATGGTGGACTTGAACTCAGCGATCCTGCTGCCTCTGCCTCTTGAGTGCTGGGATTATAGGCATGTGCCATCACACCCGGCATGAAAGAGGATTTAAATAAATGAGTAATCAGTTAATCATTTTCTTTCTTTCTTTTTTTTTTTTTTTTTTTTTTTTTTTTTTTTTTTTTTTTTTTTTTGAGACAGGATCTCACTATGTAGTTGAGACTGACCTGGACCTCACTATGTAGTCCAGGCTGATCTCGAACTCACAGCAATCCTCCTATCTCAGCCTCAGCCTCAGCCTCCTGAGTGCTGGGATTACAGGCGTGTGCCACCACACCTGGCCTTAATCATTTTATTTCTATGAAAGATGAGTATGGAGGAAAACAGACTCCAGCTAGGAAAAACTAAGTTTTAGGAACAGAGAATATTATAAAGATCATCTTTTAAAATGAACTGGTCACCTATGCAACCCTAGAATGTCCATGCCCTGCTTACTGTAAATAGTTTCCAAAACAAAAAAAGGTTCGAAGAGAAAAAGAATGAGAAAGGGTTATAGTTAATAAGGCATCAAAGGAAGTAGGCTAACATCCAGAATTACTGTTTAGTACAGGAGATTGTATTTATCCCATTAGACAAGATCCACAGCTTTTATCAGATTTTCAAAGTCTATCACCTTCAAAATACTCAAGAACCCCTGATTTAGACTGAATTAATGGCTACAAAGAGGGAAAGTCACTGCACTGTTAAGCACTCAAACTGGTTTGGGAAAAGAACATAGTGAACTTTACCAGAAGTTTGAATGCATGGAAAAGCAGATCTGAGAATCTCAGATTAGGAGAAAAAACAGCCTGGTTCTGAAAGAACTGGAGGAGCTGTGTTGTTTTTTGGTTTGTTTTTCTTTTTATACCAGGGCTTGAGCTCAGAACCCTGAGCTTGCAAGGCAGGCCGTGGCACCATTGAGGTAAATTCCAAGCCCCAGAAGAACTCTTAATTACTACAGAAGGAACACTTAATCATTACAGAAGAAGCATGTGAATGCAACTGGAATAAAAATCCTAAAATGGCATAGAAGTATCAAAGGTTTCAATTTCATGTCCTGAAGTTATCTCCTTATTAAATACGATCCCCATTATATAATGAATTGTGGAACAAAAGAAACATTAAGAAAGAAGCATTAAGAAAATCCTTGTTGTAGTTTATGTTAATTCTAGCATTTATGTTTGAAAAAAGTTTTCTAACTGTACCAGTCTGAATAAAAGTTTTAGTTCAGAGACAGTTTTCAATATTTTCACACACTGACACAATGCTTTTATGCCTACTGTTCCAATTTTGGAATGGCATGGAACAATGGAACATAATGAAAATTTTTCTCTTCAAATTCTTGTTCCTTGAATTTTTCTAGGTAATATGTATAAATTTCATGCAAAAAATTTAAAAAGTACAACCTATGGCATAAATGGGTTTAAGGAGTAGTTTGATTTATACTATATATTATTTTTACTTATTGGACTTACATAAAAGTTTAAAAGTGATGATGACATCAGCAAAATGTTTGCATAGTGATAAAGGAATGCATTGTGTTGTCTTATGTATACATTTACAGGAAGAAAAATTCTCATTTTTTTAAATGACTGGAGGAAAAAATTCCCTTTAAAATACTGATATATGTGCAATATGGTTCGTAATTACATATAGATACACAACGGCTTCAAGTTTCTCAAAATACACTCATGATTCCCAAAGTGTCACAATGCTTTGCCAATAGTACTTTATGGAAAACATAAGTTAATTACCTGACAGGAAGAGTTCGATCGCCTTTCCTCCTGTCCATTTCTCTTTGGGGAACAGGATACCAGCGAAAATTGAGTTTCCAGTTGAATCCACCATATGTCATATCAGAGCCTGCCATATACTCAAAAGTATCATCGCTGATCACATCGATGATAGGACATACCACCGTTCTCCTAACATCATAAAAGCAAAATTTAAAATCTTTTTAAATGTTCTTACATATACTGTAATATTTACATAAATTATACACTATGCTTTAAAAAATAATAATATATTCTGTCATGTTAAAAACAATGATGAGGGCTGGAGATTTAGCTCAGTGGTGCCACCGCCTGCCTCACAAGTGCAAGGTCCCCAGTTCAATCCCCAGTACAAAAAAGGTGAAAAAATTTCCTGCTATAGCCTACATCAAGGCATTAGCCTTCTCTCCACTTGGTCTGTGCATTTCACTAGTTTTATATTTATAAAGATGGGTGTGCTGGCCCATGTATGTAATCTCAGCACTCCAGAGGCAAGGCAGGAGGATTGTGAGTTTGAGGCCAACTTGGGCCACACAGCAAGTTCAAGGCTAACCTAGATCACATAGGGAGACACTGTCTCAAAAAAAAAACAAAAAACAAACAAAAAAAACCAAACCCTAAGTAGTTTTATTTGTTGTGCATCTTTAGATAAATACATTCCTAAGTATGTACAGTCTATGATTTCTATGGCTATTATGAATGGTATCTTTTTACATATTTTAACTATCCTTTGTTGGTACGAAGAAGAAAATTTTTTTACATTGATCTCACATTTAGTAACACTGCTAAATTTTTATTTTTGTGTGCAGTTATTTTTCTTCAAAGCATTATCTTCTGCAAATGACAACATAATTTATTTATATATCTATTTATTTATTTATTTAAAGAGTAGGAAAAATTTATTGAGGGAAAGAAAGCTACTAAGAAGAGACAGAAAGGGGACCAGAAAGTGGATTGCCCCAACATTTTTTTTTTTTTACAACAAATACTTTTTTTGTGTGTGGTATACAGTGCCACTTAGCTAAATCGTGGGCCCCAGAGAAATACTCTTTCATTTACTCATTGTATCACTCACTGTAAGACAAAGATTTCTAATGATACTAACAGTGGTGATTCTGAACTTTTTTTTTTAGGGCTTCTTATCTTGTTCAGTATCTTTTAAAAAGTGCTTTCAAGGGGCTGGGAATTTAGCTCAGTGGTTCCAGCGGCTGCTTCGCAAGTGCCAAGGACCCAAGTTCAATCTCCAGTACCCAAATAAAAAAAAAAATGCTTTCAACATTTTCTTACCAATATGGTGGTGTCTGCTTGCTCAGGTATTTCTCCCTCTTACCCAGCCATTCTTCCTCTGATCAGTAAATTTCCATTCTATCACAGTTTACTAAGCATTTTCTAATAATAAATGGATGTTAAATTTTAGTGAATACATTTTTCTGTATGTATGGAAGTAATCACGTTTGTATTTATAATCACAGTTTTTAAAATATGCTAACAGGGTATATTATATAAATTAACACTTTTTTGTTCATTTATTTTTGCTATTTTGTTTTGTGTTTATGGGGATGGAACCCCCAGGGCCTTGACACAGGCTAGGCAAGCTATATCCCCATTCTACTTTAAAGAAAAAAAAAATTCTTTTTAAAAGAAAATTATTAAAAAAATTTGAGATAGTGTCTTAAATTGTCTAAACTAGCCTTGAATTTGCAATCCTCCTGTTTCAGTCTTCTAAATAGTTGAGATTACAGATGTGCCTGGCTCATGAATGATTCTGTAATATTAGACTAAAGCAATTAATCATAAGTTTAACATATTTGTGCATATATTGTATATATATGTCACATATTTGTGCATATATTGTATATATATGTCACATACTGCTGGATTCAGTTTGCTGCTATTGTAAGATTTTTGTAATAGCATTCATGTATGAGTTTGGGCAATAGTTTTCCTCATAGTTTGGTTTTTTTTTTTTCTGATTTTTAATGAAAGTTATGCTAGCCTCATGGAAAGTTTCACTGTTTCCCATTTTTTTCTATATTCTTTTTACAAATTCTTATGGGAGTTATTTTCCCTCTTCTGTCCCACACCAAAGTTGAGACAGACAAGTTTTCTCTTCTATTCTCTCATCTTACTAAGGCAAAAGCATAGTGTCCCCAGAATTAAGTATAATTCCTATAGGTGAAAGCTGAGTTTATTATTTGTTCTGCTCATTTGCTTTCATTTTGAGACTTGCAAATTTCTAGCTTCTGTGACAACTCAATGATGTATTTTTAAAAATCTCTTCTGTTTTATACAGCATTTTAGCTTTTTCATTTGAAACAGTTATTTAGGATGTCTAATAGACTGTGAAGCCCAAACTGGAAGTCACTATGTTATTTTAGTCTATTCCTTTCTAGGCTGTCATTATCTTACACTGCTTCCTATGGGTTCAGGCTTCTGTTTCTCAAGGTTGTACATTATCTTTATGCAAACACATATTTCCTAAAGTAAGTCATCTATTATTTATAGAAAATAATTCATAGAGATATTCTCTTCCCTTAATTCTTCAGGGCAATATTCTCTTTCCTAAAGCTGCTAGATCCTCCCTCTAGCCCAATGCTGTTTTCTTATTCATTTTTAAAAAGGAAGAGACACAATTCAGCATTTGCTAACTTTAGTAACCTTAACTCTCGCCATCTGCCACATTAGTAAAAGTTTGTCCTACAATCTAAGATAAACTAAAATCTAAATTTAATGTTAACACAAAAAGCTGATAATTCAAATTGCAATGACAAGCAGAAATTCAACTAATATAGATCTAGCTGACTTAAGTAAGGATCCCCCTGAAACATAAAAACTAAAAGCCTGGCAACAGGTAATTCTTTGGAAAATGTGTAACATGAAAGGCTACATAGGCATGCATTGTACTAATAGTCTTTCTGTATTAGCTGAGATTATAGTACTTTTCTATACAGTTAACTATTTCAGGACATACTTGTCTTCTGTCCCTTCTACTTCATGGTTTATTGTAAGTTGAAGGCTAGAGTTCCTGTGAAGATAGAGATGACCTAGTTGCCCCAGGGTTAGCCTCAGAGAAAAAGGACAAGTAAAGGTTTTATCCCACCTGCTTCGAGTTTACTGTTCATCTCTTCTGTTCCTGTTTGATGAAGAGGGTGTACAGAATAAACTCTAACAACATGCTTCCCATCCATCTTCATTAACAAGACAATTTGTAAACTGTCATGTAAATCTTAGCATGTGGCATTCTTTACATTTCATTCACAGTGTTTTTCAGGGCATTTTATAGGCAACTTGAAAGGAAATTATTTTTTGTACCTTTTTTTTGGGGGGCCACCAGGCATTGAACTTGGGACCTTGCACTTGCAAAGCAGGCAGCGGCACTAGTGTATGTACTGCTGAAGCAAGAACTGTACCTATTTTATTTATTTACTTTTGAAATTTCCTAAAAATTTATTTGTTGTTTCTCTTATAGTAACGTGCCACTGAGTCTCGCAAAAAATTCTGAAATGCTGGCTCTTCATGGCTTTCCTCTGTAACTCTGCGATCAATGTCATCAGTATCACTGTCAGCATCCTCATCCTCTTCATCAAAGGTTCCGCAAGTCAGGCTCAAGTCAGAAGGTTTTAGCTAGGAGATGCGCTGTCTTCAGCAGTCCTTGCATCCAAGGCTACAGAGCCCACGTCTTTCTGCTCCAGTTGTTCCTTCTGCTGTTCACTCTGTGCTCTGGTCACTAATTTCTTCAGACGCTCATATTCAGGATGATACTTCCTTTCATATTCTTCTGCAGCACTGGTGACCTGTACCATGAGTTTATCGAAGCTGGTGCCTAGAACAGTGGAGGCACCCAGCACCCTCAGTGAGCTGTAAAACTCAATCTAACTCCAGGTTTGCAGAACTCATGAAGTTACTGATGTATGTTGTCTCTTGATTTAAGGCATTAGAAAGCCTCAAAATCCCGCATCCAATCCACTACAAAGCTGTGATGGATGATATCCATGGCTACAATGAAAGTCAGCTTGGTTTTGTACAGAATGATGTAAGCATATAGCATATTAGACATGAAAGTCACTGTATTTCGTGATGTGCCTATCACATAGATGGCTACTGCTAGAAATGAGGATGCCAGGGCCTTGGTGATGATTGTCCCAGAAGCTGATCAGGTGAATACTTCAATCTGTCCAGGTGTGTCAATCAAGACATATTTAGAAGTGTTCTGGGCTTTCTCAATTTTATCACCTGATCAAATCTGGTAGCAAAGAGATCGAGTGAGGTCAATATGCCACTGTTGGGCCCAAGTGCACATTTGTTTCATGACTTCTTTATACGTCAAAGTCTCAAGAAAGGGTACTTCATGTACAGCTAGGTCCAGGTGGAGTGCACAAGGTGAGAGCTTCAGCTACGCAGGTGTCCTCTGGGCCTCTGTACAAATGAGTTTTTCCCAGATCCTACTATTCCCCAAATCAACAGACATGGAGGGCTGAGGAGCTCCTGAATTCAGGAGCTTAGCTGCGCTTCCTTGCGCTGCCATTTTCCCACCAGTCTCACTCATTTTTGTACTTACTTTAAAATACCAAATTTTACAACCATAAAATTAGGACAAATATACTAAGGACAAACTTACAAGCTCCAAACATTACCTGTCCTGTTTGATCCTGGCTAAGAGAGGCTCCAGCCATCCCACTGTGCACTCACAATGAGCATCTAAGAAGGTGATCACTTGACCTTTGGAGACAGCAGCTCCTTTTAATCTAGCTCTGATCAATCCAGATCGCTGTTCCATTCGAATTACATGAACTGGCACTTTTAGTTTTTTCACATAACTCTCTAGAGGTCTTTTCAAAAAGTCTGAAAAATTATCAAAACAAAACAAAACAAAAAAAAACACGAAAATAAGAGTGAACTGGTACAAACCAAAGGTAAAGCAATTCTGATATGAAAAATACTTTTGAGACAGGCCACGCTTTGTTTTGCAGGCTGGCCATGAACTCACTATGTAGCCCTGGCTGCCCTCAAACTCATGGTAATCCTCCTGTCTCAGCCTCCCAAGTGCTGGGATTACAGGTACGTCACACCTGGCTGATACGCAATTATTTCTTTAACACATATTTATCAAACACTTGCAGTTCCTCACTTATGCATTTCACCAAAGAAGCCTTTTTGTTTCATGACAGCATGGACTAGAGCTGCCTCTACTACATTACATGTGGAACCAGGAGTTTATCTTCGCCTCAGGCATCCCCAAGGATAGTATTATCACCACATTTCTTTAACTCTTGGTTAGGCCTGATGCTTCTTTTTCTAATTATGCTTAAAGATCAACAACAGAAAAGTAGTTCTAGAACATTAAATCCAGATCTCCACAGAAAGAAGGAACAGAATATGCCATAGCTATTACAGTTCTGAAAATTGTGAAATTTCTTCAGATGCAAAAAACAAACTGTGTGCTGAGCATCATAGTCTTTGACTACCCAATTCTTTCATCAGGAGACAAGAAGTGAGGTCAAGCTGAGAAGAGAAGCTAGAAGGGCTGGACTGTTCACTGTAGGCCAAACAGAAATCTTCAACAGACAAGCAAGTCTAAGAAAAAAATCTGAGGGGAAGGTAATTAAAAATGGGGGTGGAGGGCTGGGGAGTTAGCTCAGTGGTTCCACCACCTGACTCACAAGAACATGGACCTGAGTTTGATCCCTAGTATGGGGAGGGGGGCAAGGCGTGGGGAGGAGGGAAAAGGAGAAAGGGAAAGCTATCCTGGAGAGATCAGAAAAGGTTATGCCCACAAAGCAAGGATGTTCCAGCTTCAAAGTTCACAACTGACTTTAAAAAGCAACAGAAAATGTGCAACTTATTCAAAGCAGAGAGCAAAGATCTTTTCCATCAAGTTATTCTGTAAAATTATGGCAGAGAATCTACTGATGGTATTATGGCCAAATATCTTTCCAATTAGTCCCCATACAATAGGCAAGAGGATAACCTCCCCAGGGAAGGAAATACTTGAGATAGAACTACTAGAATTCCTATGACTAGCTCTGTCCAATAGGACTTTAGTAATTCACAGAAGTCAGGATGTACCAAAATACCTTCAAATACCAAAAGTACTTCCTATATGGTGGGATGGGGAGATCAAATGGGAGTGAAATGATTCTTACTCGTTTAGTAAGATCAGAATGGATCAATAATGAAATAATCAGGGATATGAAATCTGTGAAAATGGTCCCATCACACTGGATTACTAATAATTTTCCATTTCTGCTAACATATTTCCAAGTATTTGGGCTAAAGAGACTAGCTTTAAAAATACCATTATCATTTTATGAACCAAACCTTAAGGTCAGAAAGACCTAACTAGATTCTGCGTAAAAAGGTAGGAGCACCCATGGGAAAAAAGAAAAAGGAAAAAAAAAAAAAAAGTGTAAGCAGCACCAATTTCAGAGAAAAGCACCATTTTGTAGTAATAGCTAACATTCTGTGACTATTTTTAGCATGATGCTAGTTACATATTTATCTGACTTAATTCTCACAACTACCCTGTAAAGTTAAGTATCAATATGCATATTTAGAAATTAAAATCTAATGCCCAGAAAGAATGTTACATGAATTTGATCAAGGTAACATGGTTGGTTTTTAACCATGTTTAACATGGTTAAAGGCTGGACTCAAAATTTAACCCAGGTCTACCTGACTTCAAATCCCATATTCTTAACCACAGCAAGAAAACCTTTGAAGAGAACCCTGGAGAGAACAATTCGGGATTATGGAAGCACCTGATCTGACATAAATTTATACTTTATATCTGAAATTTAACTAAATCTTATGTGGTAGGGATATATTCTAATATCTTAGGTTAGTCAAAATTTATATATATATATACACAATGTTTTTCCCAGTCATTTTTTCAAAAATATTAGATTTAAAAATCAAAGCAATCTAATCCTCAAGTCTCACATCTTTAAAAGTTTTAATACTTGATCCTGTCTATGAACAAAATGAAAAATGTTTGATTCTCCAAAAACTTGTTATTTTACAAACTTTTTTGGCATCTTTGTGGATTCCATGCAGTAAGGCTAAGAAATAAGTGTCTCCCTTTCAGTTGATACAGACTTATGGGGCCAATGACTGGATAGAAGAATAGGAACTGTCAATCCTCAGTCTACAAAAATGAAGCCACGAGAAGAGATTATGTTTAGTCTAAAAATGAGGGTAAATCTTGTTTGTAAGAATATCTTTACATCTATTGTCCTACACAAACCTCTAAGCATCCCTCCCATCAAGAAGCATGAGGTTGTTAGACAGTGAGAATGCCAGGAAAAATTTTACTATTCAAACATCTAAAAAATATTAGCTAGAGCTCTAAAGGGTAGCAGGAAGTTCTCGTAAGGAATTTAAGGTCTAGTAAGTCTGGCTCTAATTTACCTTTCGTCTGTGTAAAACAAGAAAAACAGCAGTCATCGCAGATTAGAAATAGTATATAAGTTCTAAGTTTTTTTTTTTTGATTACTGGGAATCATATAAGTTCTAAGTTTTAAGATAACCTTCTGAGGCTACAGTCACATAACTTCAGACATGAACGACGGATTAATTCAGACACTGATTTTGATAGAGATTTTATAACAAAGTTTCAACAGAGGTGATCACAAAAGTGAGGTATATATTGGTTAAGAAATCAAGCCCTGGGTTTACAGAGCTTGGGTACCTCTCTATCATGGTAAGTCGTATTTTGCTCATCAATGAAACAAACTTACAGCATCAAATTCATACTTCTTTAATAGAATTACTCAGCAGGTTAACTGTGAAATTAAGTATCCCAAGACCACGAGCAGATTATTCATGCTATATACTGTAACCAGGAGGCATGCACAAGTAGTAAATAAAAAGATTAAATGGTGCTAGATCATTTATTCATCCTTTTTTTCCCCTCCCACATCAGGGATTGAACTCAGGACCTTGTACTTTTTTTTTTTTTTTTTTTTTTTTTCAGGTCCTTGCACTTGTAAGGCAGGTGCTGGAACCACTGAGCTAAATCTCCGGCAAAGACCTTGCACTTTTAAGGTAGGCACAGCAGATCATTCATTCTTTTATCCACTCATTCAATAAATTCTATACTATTTGCTATGTAACAGGCAGTATGAGCACAGAGGAGAAAGGTAATAATGAGCAAATGGCCCTGATGGAGGGTTTAGTTTAATATGGGAAGACAGACATTAAATAGGTCAATAACTGAGACTCCAGTGAACACTGTGGCAAAGAGTGTTCCAAGATGTGTACAGAGGGTCGTGGCAGGGCCTAGAGACGTCAAAGAATCCCTCTCTAACTCAGTCACATTTGAGATAAACTCTGAGCATGATTAGATGTTAACTATGCAGCAGATGGTAGAAGAACATTCCCAGAGGGCAATGTTCTAGGAGAGAGAATATTACCTGCACAGGTGAAAGAGGTCCTGAGGTAGAAAAGAAGACACTTTCAATAAATTCTAAGAAGAGAATGGACAAAGAACAAAAATATGGGAATGAATTGGCAGGGAGTGGACTGAGATGTGACTAAGAGGTGCTGGATGGAGTCAGGTCATGTAGGTTTTAATTAGAGAATTTATATCATCATGTTTGCATGTCATTCTGCATGTACTGTGGTGAACAGATGGGAAGAGGTGAAACTGTGTGTAGGGAGAAAGACTGGCTAGTTTATTTTAGCATTCCAGGTGAGAAATGGTGGTGACCTGAATGTATCTCATGAATAGGAAAAAAGCAGACTCACAAAATTACATAAAAGTAAAGTACTTGCTCTGGCTCCTTGGCCCAACAATTACCATTCAAACAATGGTGCCAAAGAAAGCATGTTAAATAATTCTCAATCTGGATAGTAATTCTGCAAATATAATAACAGAAAACAATACTGAGTGGTTCCCAGATCTAAGAAATGAGGAACTGGATACTTGAAGATTTCTAGGTTAAAAACAAAAACAAAACAAAAAACAAACAAAAACAAAAACACCAGAGAATCTGTTCTCTAATCAAGCACTCTGGGGTAGCACTTGGGGGATCCTGTCTAGTGACTAAGCACCTTGGGTAGAGCAACACAGTAAATATCTGCCTCTACCAGTTTTCTCTCAGATTCATAAAAGGTGGGTATTAAGTAAGGCCTGCACAGAAAAAGGAAGATGGCTGGTTTATTGAGTTTCTCTGTCACTGGCAGCTATATGCATATGTCTAGTAAGGTCAAATTCTACAAAAGTTTAACTATTCTACACAGCCTTCCTACATACTCACAGAGTAAGATAAAAACTATGGGAAGAAATGGAAAAATAATTCATTTTGTCTAAGAAAACTATCTTCCCTTGAGGAATATTTAGTAAATGTCAACACATAAATCAAGTAAAAATCTCTTGCAGAATAAATGTGCACAGTCATATGCTATATAATGATATTTTGGTTAACAATGGACAGAATGTATGATGGCAGTCCATAAGATTTTATATCTTTCATCTGTACAACAATCAATTCAAAATGGGTCAAAGGCCTACATATAATACCTATAACTTTCAAACTGTCAGAACAAAACATAAGAGAAACACCTGAAGCCACAGGCTCGGGCAAAGATATTCTGAAGAGGACCCCAACAGCACAGGAATACCAAGAATCAACAAATGGGACTATAGCAAATTAAAGTTTCTTCATAGCAAGGGAAACTACAGAGTGAAGAGACAGCCTACATAATGAGAGAAAATCTTTGCTAGCCACTCTTCTGACAGAGAATTAATGTCCTGAATTTTATATATTCTAGACTCAAAAAACAACACTAAAAAATCAAATAGCCCAATCAGTAAATAAGCAAATGAATTGAACACACACTTCTCAAAAGTAGTACAAGTGCCTGTAGAGAGCACATGCCAATGTATAGGATGCAGAGAACATAATGCCTCCCAAAAAGAGTATAATGTCAGTGTGTTCCCAAGAATGGAGACTGAAAACCCCCTGAGTGACTTAATGTGTGAAACCTGATATGTAATCCCCCCAAGAGTGAAGAGTGATATCTAACCCAACAGATCACCCTATGATATGTGTAACCCTGATATCTACCCCAACAAATTCAATGTGTGAAACCCTATGATATGTGCAGCCCCAGTATCTACTCAACCAGCCCCAATGTGTGCAGTGATAAAACTCAATCCAGTGCCACATACCCCAAGTTAGAACAGGTATAAAAGAGAGTGCAGAAGACCAGCTTGTCCCACTTGGACGCCCGAGACAGCCCGACACTGCCGGACGAGACATTGGACGCCTGCCTGGAGTGGACCCCGGATCAAAGCGGAGGCAACCGGTTCGAACACTGCAACCATCAGGAAAGGAGAAACAAAGTCGAGCTCCTCAGACTTGTGCAGGTATACTGAGTGGCAACTGGTGGGTATGAATTAACATGTTTGATGTGTGACATACACACACACACACACACACACACACACACATCTAGTTGGCAACTACTACAGTCTCGATATCCAGTTAGTGCACACTCCTGCTCGCGACAGTGCCCAGTAAGTATATGAAAAATGTTCAGTGTCTTCAGCCATTAGGAAAATGAAAATCCAAACTACACTGAGATTCCATTTTATTTCAGTTAGAATGGCTATCATCAAGAATACAAACAATAAATGCTAGCAAGGATATGCGGAAACAAGAACTCTTATATTCTGCTGCAGGGAATGTAAGTTGGTAAGCCACGATGGAATCAGTATTGAGGCTCCTAAAAAAATCTAAAACTATAGCTACCACTTGATCCAGCTATACCACTCTTTGGTATATATGTGAAGGAATTAAAGTCAGTGTAATACAGGGATACCTGCATACCCACATTTAGTACAGCATCATTCACTATAGGCAAGATACTGAATCAGTCTAGGTGCCCTCAACAGATAAATGGATGAAAGGTATACATTCATAATGGAGTATTATTTGGAAGTAAAGAAGGAAATTTTGTCATCTGTAGGAAAATGGATGGATCTGGAGATCACCTTGTTTAGTGAAATAAGGTAGGCTCAAAAAAAAACAAATGTCACATGTTCTCCCTAACATGGTATACAGAATCTAAAAAATGTGACAAGAAAGTGAAAGGAAGATCAGATGAGAAGGGAATGAGGGGGAGGGAAAGGCAGGTGATAGGGGGATGAATATAAATAAATATACAAACTGAAACCTTCTCCCAAAAAAAGTGAAACTGGGAGGCATGGAGCAATGGAAGTGGAGGGATAAAATGATCAAAGTAATTATATGTATGCATGAATCTGCCAAAATGAATCCCATCAATCTGTATAACCAATATGCGCTAATTTTTAAAAAAAGATGTGTGTATGGGGAGATTTATATTTGCAAAATGGCACAATCACCATGACTCATTTCTCAGAACTATCCTCATCAAGTATCGCATGACTAGGTATATACTGTATTGCTCCTTGTGTTGATTTAATTTTCTTAAAGAGAATTAACGTCCAACAAAATGTTGCTCTGGTGGCCACTTCACCTCATGTAAGGTTTATACTTCTGTTGTCAACAGTAGTTATTCCAAGTGTGTCATTCTCAATTTAAAACAACTACCAATCATTTTGACATTGAGTTACATATTATACTATTTGTATGTCTTGTGTGATTATAAACTATTTTTTAAATTAAGTTAGACATTTGAGAACGTACAATTCTATCTTGTTCTTCATTTGTATCTGTACAATCTGGCAAAAAACAAAACTTAAATTGTTATCAACATATAAATTGTTCCAAACAATGTATAATGTAACTACTTAATTAATGTTAATCAAACTATTTGGTATGGGAGCAGGAAAAAGAGTGTATAATACTTAAGCCATCTTAGCAGATGCAAAGGGAGGACAGACAAAAAAAGTTGAAGATACCAACAACGGAAGTTGAAACGAAGGGTCATGGGGCCCGAGATTTAGCTCAGTGGTGCCGCCGAACGCCTTGTAAACGTAAGGACCCGAGCTCGATTCCTGGTACCCTATCCCCCAAAAGGGTCATGAAGGTTAAAGATGGCCAAGGAAGGAAGAAAAGGTAGAATCTATTTTCTGTAGTTCACACCAAATTTTCTTATGTGAATATAAGACTATTGGAGGAACACATGACACCAATGATTCCTAAATAGTTGTGCTATTTAGGAAAAATACCCCCCCACACACAAATTGGGAAATTCTGATTGTAAAAATATCTTTATTGATGGGCTAAATCTTTTGTACAGTACTCTATAGTGAGAAATCTGCAAGATTCAGAATAAAGAAAGCCAGCCCAAGGCACCTTTGATTAATATCTTTTCCCAAAAGAGTGTTTTAATGAAACAGGTCATGATATTTTAAGTTTGTGACAAATTCTGATTCTAATAAGAATATAGTATTTGGGGAAAATACATGAGAGACAGATTGTGACATTAGAAACACATTACATGAATAGATGTCTTAATCTTTTCATTTCCTAGTTTTAAATGATTCCCAAAATTCACAAATGAAGAAAATAAGGAAAGCTTAGAAGACACAGAGAACTAAGGTTCCTTCCTTTTAGACTTCATTTTGCTGTCACAGATACTGTACTTCCTGCTATACACAGAAAAACATTTCTCCATGGTTAAAAGTAGGAGCTAGTCTTTTTCAGCTGACTCAAGGCTATAACTTCCCATAGAAGAAATCCTAACAAAATTATGTGAGGGTTTTTTAACTGTTCTACATGAACATCTATATTATAAAGCATTATTTCTTTCCAAAATAAGACTAAGATAACACACAAACTAAATACTCATTGAAGTAGTATTTTAAGTTTCACAACAGAACACTCTTCCACATGTGAATAACTCCAAATACCACAAATATTTTTAGGGTAAATTAAAGTTTGTACAATATTAATAGATTAAAAATTACAGCAACTGTATTTTAAACTGTTAGTGACAAAATGTGTAGTATGTTACTGGCATTAAAATTTAAAATTTACCTCTTTCACTGGCATCATCAACTAGAACAATTTCTTCTATCATGTGTCTTGGTGAGCGATTAATGACACTATGAACAGTTCGAAGAAGTGTGCTCCAAGCCTCATTGTGGAAAACAATCACGACACTTGTTGTTGGAAGATTATCTGGATACACCTTTGTTTTACACCTAGAGACAAAGCAAATGCCTTTATAAAAAGTGACTTTAAGATACATAACAATGACTATGGACAAGAAGGGTGATAGAACAGTGAAAGAACTGTTTGCTCTAGAGGTGAGATTCTTAGTACCTTCTCATTAAATTTTGGTTAATCTTACATGTTCAATAAATAGTGCCTAAAGTAATATATTTAAATTAAAATTATTTTAAAGATGCACTTTCATGTGTTCTTAAAACTAGGAAGCTCTTCCTAATGAATGTTTTTGGTTGATTTAATTTAATGGAGAATAAACTGAGGCTGTATTATTATTAGTCCCAAACTGAATGTCTGTCAAGAATCCAATTAGACAAAAGAAATTGGAGCCATTAGAGTGTACACATTTAATAATCTAAACAAAAGTAAAACTTCCAGGAAGGAAGAGAAATCACATTTGCTAAGCAGGTTCCTGTTAATCTTCCTAGACATTCTATAATGCAGATACTTGGAACCACAGATGAGAAGCTCAGAACAGTGACAGTGTGGAAGCAGCAGTGCCTGGCTGAAGACTCAAAAGTTCAGGCTCTGCAGACCAAATTCTTGATAATTAAATATTAATATGCATCTCATTTACTATTGATAGTACCTACATGCGATCACCACAAAGTCCAAACATACCTGAAATATATTTACAAAGAATCAACACACCAAATTGAATGTTTCAAGAGCTTTGTTAGGTAGCATGGTCTCTTCTTTCAACACTGTTGGTTAGAATGAAGTTTAGAGGACAAACTATTATGGGACAATAACAACAGTAAACGATGAGGTAGCAAAGGCACATTTTAGAACATATACCACCTAAAGAGTGTACCTGTAACTCTTATCTACAGTAATAGCTGCACCAGCCTTCTTTTGCTTTTTTCCCCCTGCTTTTTCGAGCTCTCAAACCCTGTGCCCCCCAGAAGTGGACAAAAGGAAGAAGGGAGGGGAAATGAGCAAAACAGCAACTAAAATCCTCCTTTGAAGTTCCTTTAACAACCTTAACTTACTGAACACTTTACTGTAGAACTATTGACTGGCAGCTGGAAGAAAAGGGCAAGGAGAAAAAGATGACAATGTTAAGGGGCTTAAAAGAGAAATATAGGAGAGGTCATTACAGGTTCCCCATACACCCTGTTCCTCCTCCCTGAGGAAAAGAAACAAGTGGCTTCCACTGTCCTTCATTATGGCACTTCCCATTGTCTTACCCACTTGCAAGATAGTCCTCCCCTTCACAGCACAGTCTACATCTCCTATTTCCCATATCCCCATTATTTAGCTACCAGATCCAGAAGACCTGCAGCCTCACTGCCACTTCTCTTTCCACACCCTTCTTACCCTATGTTCACTCCAAGATTCACCAGAAAGCCCACATAAGCTGCTACCCTCTCTATAGTCCCTCCCTCCAAATATGGGCTAAAAGCCAGGGATGTGGCTCAGTGGACCACACTCTCCTGGCAAGTGCAAGGTTCTTAGTTTGATCCCTGGTACCAAATATGGGCTTAAAAAGGTAGATCCCAAAAGAGTAGTTACCTAGGATGTAAGCAAAAAATGTGTTAAGATTCTTAATAATATGTTTGAAATAGTTTCCCATTAGAGCTCTGTTTTAGCTGGTAGAGTAATGTATGCTGATCATACTGTATACTTGAGAGGCTGAGTAAAAAGAATCACAAGTTTGAGGCCCAGGCAATTTAGTAAGACTCTATCTCAAAACAAAAAAAGAAAAAAGCCAGAGACATAGCTCAATGTTCTCTAGGTCCAATCCCTAGGACCATTAAAAAAAAAAAAAAACACAACAAAAACCCTGTTATAAATGGTAATTAGTAACATTAAATATATATTAAGAAATTAATAATATGCTTCAGATAACTCAGTGACCAAGCCAAGATATTTAGTATTTTTATGGGAGAATGCATTCTAAATGATGAACTTGTAGACTATTAGAACAAGACTTCGAAGTCAGGAATGGCTTTTGTATGATTAACAGGAGCTCGATGGGTTTCTTACATAACTTAGGTAAATTATACTGTGCCATGTATGATGTTTTTTCCAAAGTTAATATGTATTGTAGTAAACTGTGAAGTCAAAGAGATTATGTAGCTGTTAACTTATTAAAACAACAAAAAACAAGACACAGAAAGGTGATGATTAGGAAAAATGCAGTGTACAAATGGCATTGTTAGCCATGTCCACCACTAAGAAATAGAAAGAAAGAAGACAGAAAAGGTCCAGGGATTTAGCTCAGTTGTTCCACTGCTTGCCTCGCATAAGGTCCAGAGTTCGATCCCTGGTACCAAAAAAAAAAAAAAAAGACAAAAAATCTGCAAATAGTAGATTCTGCAGAAAAAAGTAATAACCTACATTTATTTAACTGATGATAGATTAAAGAATTCTAAAATTGTAGGGAAAAGAAGAGTATAAGAACATTAGAGGTAATGGGTATGGTGGCCCATACCTGTAACCCCAACCTCAAAACTCTGGGTGATAGAAGGAGGAAAATTCCCAAGTTTGAACCCACTCTAGCCCCAGACACTTAGCAATTTAGCAAGACCCTGTCTTAAAATAAAAAATACAAAAAAGGGCTGGCAATGTAGCTTAGCATAAATTCAATTCAATCTGTGGTACCAAAAACTAAAAATACAAACAAAAAACCCCAAACAAGCTAACTTTATAAAGTAACATGTTTCAGGTTTTTTGTTTTTTGGTAATGGAAAAGAGACTAACAATGTGCGTGTGCGTGTGCGTGTGTGTGTGTTTCAGGGAATTCACAGGAACTGAATAGAAAGGTCACAGGCCGTGTTTCTTCCATCCTGTCTCAACTCAGTTCTTCATTCAGTTATAAAAACTAACCAGTGTAAGTTTATGCTAATTTTAAAAAGTTAAAAACAACAAAATCAAAGAAGGAAGAATAAAAAAGAGAAGCAAAAGCTGGGCTTGGTGGTATATGCCAGTAATCTCAGCACTTGGGAGGCTAAAGCATGAGGATCATCTAGAGTTTGAGGCTAGCCTGGAATACAGAGGGAGTTGAAGGCCACCCTGAACTACACAGCAAGACCCTGTTTCAAAACATTGCAGGGGGGGTAGGGGGGAGAAAAGCAAAATTAGAATGTAAGAGAACAGAAGACAAAAAGTAATATCCTATGTCAAACAGCTAAACTTATTCAGAGTTGTCATGAATTCCTGAAGAATACTACTCTCCCAAAGCAAATCAGGAAATTACTCAATGTTTCAGAACAGGCATGCACATACACATATATACACAGCCCTTCCCTGAGAGCCATAAAATACTTAAGAGCTAAAGAACCCTCTAGAAATGGAGAAACTGCAAGCCTATGTGCAATGGTCTGGATGTGGTCTGTGGTTGTCTCTCAAGCATTTGTGTGCTAGAAGTGTGGTGGTGGTGGTGGTGGTGGTGTAGAAGGGAGCAGAATCTTTAAGAAGTGGGACCTAGTGGGAGGTTACTTGGTGTGCTGCTCTCAGAAGGCATCAATATAGTTCTAGTAGGACCCTGGTTAGTTCTCTTGAGAAGGCTGTCATAAAAAAAGCCTGACCCCAAATCTCTCTGGCTTCCTGTCTTGCCATACGATTATCCCTCTCACATGTTCCTGCCATGATGCCATATGCCATGGTGTCATGTACAACGGTGGCCACTGCCATACTATTTGGACTTTTAGCCTCTAAAATTATGAGCTGAATATATCTCTTTTCTTTATAAAGCACCAAGCCTTGGGTTTTTGGTGTTTTTTTTTTGAGGGGGTGGGGTAATAAAAAATGGACTAACAATGAGTGTGTGTGCATGTGTGCATGTTGTGGGGAATTCACAGGACACCAAATTGAAGATGAGAAAAAGGCCATAGGCAGAGTTAGGAAGCAGCTTTCTTCCATCTTTTCCCAATGCAGTTCTTCACACCCAGTTATGAAAACTAGCCAGTGTAACTTTATGATAATTTTTTAAAGTAACATACATATATAGGCTTAAAACGGTATAAATTAGGAAAGGAGGAAGGGGATAATCTTCACTTTTTACTTAAAATATAGATAACAAAACACCCACAAATCTAATTATATAGCTGAATGAATTTCCACAAAATAAATGCATGAAATAGCATTCACCTAGGGGTTTCTTTTATGTCTCTTCTCTACTAGACTTTTAGCATTTATTATAGGTAAATTCTGTTTTCAAAGTAGCAGTTCTTAAACTTTTTTTTACCTATAATCCCTGTACACATTTAGAAAGTGAGAGCCTCCAAAACTTCTGTTCATGTGGGTTGTATCTACTGACACTTCCATATTCTAAATTAAGACAGGGATTTTAAAAATACAAGAATCCATAAACACATAATGCATTATCTATAAGAGATGATTCATCACTGTTATGCAGTGGACCTATTATCTATCTACTGCCTCTCAGCTCAAAACAGACTTTTCATTACCTGCTCTGTGATAATGGACCTAGGCCCCTGTAAGCGTCTCTTTTGCATTTGGTATGTTGCATACTTAAGCTCTGTCAATAAAGGGTACTGGAGGGACACTGTAGGGGGAAGAAACTTTCCTTCTTGGTTCCCTTGTGCTTAAATTTGTTTTTCCTCTCCTCCAAATGTGCCTGCCAGTGGAGTGTGGTAACCCAGAAGCATTTGATAAACTTTTCAGCCATCCAGTGAGTAATAATCAGACCTCCAAAGAGTCCCACTGAGTTTTAGGCAGATTCTCAGTGAGTCTCCCAGGCAACCCAGCAGTTGGCTTCCTAGTCTTGGCTGCCTGCACTTTGGACAGGTGGTTCCTATTTGCCAGTTCTAGCTGATTCATTTTCCGAATGCACACCTAAACATATTTCCTGCTGGTTAGATCTGCCTACCAGTATTCATACTGGAAGGCACTGTATAAAAGGTCAAGTCAAGGGAAACCACAAATCTTTTCTGCTATCCAGGGAACTCCAATGTCTGAATCACATCTTCAGGAGGGCTTCCTTTACTGGACATTAGTACTTTCCAGT